TGCAGAGAGTTCAGTACATCTGCATAAACAAGATATAACAATCCAAGAACAATGAGGAACTGAGTAGATGTTTGTTCCTCCCAGGATGTTCTCAGCTCCCAGGATGTTTCTTGTCCTGGAGAATCACAGCATCACTGGATCATTGAGGTCTCAGTTGTGACCGGAGGCCAAAATGGAATTATGTCTTGGAATTCCATAGCTGGGCTGTAGGCAAGAGAACTAGGCTAACCAAATGATTTTACCCTAAAATTATGTAGCATTGCTCCCAACAGGGATCGAACTTTGCACCTTGTGGTTGTGAGACAGGTGGCGGCACCACTGAGCTAAATCCCTGGCCCTCTGACTGATAGTTCTGAGTTTATCATAATTCACAGGCAGGGGCATATCCTTGCCATACCAGCTAAGATGGCCTGGAGGTACAAACCTCCATTTGATTTCTCCACTCCTAGTGTTATAATCCCCCCTGACCCTTCTTTGAAACCAAATAACACATCATTCAGCTGATTGCCATCAGGTGAGGCCACAGTAGCTTCATTACTATCCTATTTTGTAGTTCTTATGATTTTCTTTCTTTCTATTGCTGTACAGCAAGAAACAAAGATAAGGGGCTGGGGATTTAGTTCTGGTTCCGCCGCCTGCCTCACAAGCACAAGGTCCCGAGTTCGATCCCCCCCGCCGCCAAAAAAAAGAAAGATAAATTGGACATCTTTCTAGGTCAGACCAAAAGCCATTGTCAGGGTATGGAATCTGTCAGCAAACTTCATAGGATCTTCAGAAGATTTACTGTTTCTCTGCACTTGCCACTTCTCTTAAGAGGTAGGATGGTGAGAGCCTTAGATGTTGAGTTCCCTAAGTCTGGGGCCTTGTGGTAGATAGACCTGGACCTAGTATGAGGTAGGCTCAGGAGGTTGTCTTTATCCTCTGGGGGCACTGACAGGGTGCAGATTGAGAAGGAGGTAACCTGTTGGGAGGAGAGGCTGACAAGAGGAGGTCCTCAGCAGTGTCACCTCTTGAACAGGAATTAGTTCTGTGGCAGGTTTGCAAAGATCAGGCTTTTGATAGTGAAGGTTTGGACATAAGACACCTCTGACTGTTTCCCTTGTCTCTTACAAAAAGTCTATTTGGAGTGTGCTGTTATCCTTCAGGCACCCATTAGGGAGCCACACCTCCCAGTTACCAGGTTGCTTCACCAGAATATAAGATGTGTACTTTTTTCTTTTTCTTTTTCTTTTTTTGGTACTGGGAATTGAACTCAGGGCCTTGAGCTGGCCAGGCAAGCGCTGCACTCCTGAACTACATCCCTGGCCCCAATGTTTACTCCTTCTTTTTTTGGTACCGGGGATCAAACTCAGGACCTTGCACTTGCCAAGCAGGCGGTGGAACCACTGAGCTAAATATCTGGCCCGATGTTTACTTCTTGAGGGTTTGAATTTATCCCAGCATCTTAAAAGGGATCCAAGCAGGCAGTCAGGTAGAATAAATAGGCATTCCTCATTATGGGTCTGTGGGCAGGAGGAGTAAAAGCTAGGTTGTAGGAACCTTACACGATGTCCCATGGGTCAGTCTCCAACCTGTTCAGCCCCAGAGCCTCCCCTGGTAAAGCCAAACTCCTTCGGATTCAGATGCCTTGTGTGGGCACCAGTGCCACTTCCTCTGGACTTTTGGATTTTTCCCTTTGGCCACAACCCATCTCCCAGACGGGTCTGGAGCTGGGATGCCCTACTGGCTGGATACCTCTAGCCAATTATAGAATCATCTAACCTTATGGCATTCCTTTCCATGAAAGGGTAATAAGGGCTCCCCCCACCTCGAGATCTCAATGAAACACTGATAAATTTTCCCACCTCAGTGGAGATGTAGCTCAGTGGTGCTGCTGTCTGCCTTGCAAGAGTAAAGTTCTGAGTTCAATCCCCGGTACCAAAAAAATTTTCCCACCTCTTGGGGACCCTGGCTGAGTAATTTAACAAATGGTCTTCAATTGTGATCCATTATCCAGGGGACCAGGGCCTCTGGGTCCTGATAAATTTTTGCCCCAGCTGTTGCTAGGGTAGATGGAGTTTGCTCTCTTACAAAGGGCTGAGAAAAGTCTAATGGGTGAGGAGCCCAGTAGATGGCAGTCTAAGAACTGGAATAGGATAAGTCCCTAGGGAAAGAGACCAACAAACTGGGAAGGGCATGTGAGCCACTGTTACCCTGGGAGAGGTGGGATTCTGGACCCCACTGCTACCAGTAGCCCAGGCCAGACCTATCTTTAAAACTTGAGCTCTTGTACAGTGCCATCACCCCTGCCTGTCCCCTTTCTCCATCCCCACCTTCCTGCATTTCCACTGACCCAATTCACAAAAGGATAGATGAAAACTTTAAAGTGAAAGATGAAGGAGATTTCAGAGGAGGTGAAAGGACCCTGCTTGTTTGCTTTATGAAAGAGGGAGATGGAGAGTGAGAAAGCATGAAAAGAACAGTTTAGAGGGCCTCCTTCAGGATAAAATTTTGTTTGTTTTTATTTTTTCAGGCAGGCTCTCGCTATGTAGTTTAGGCTGTCTTTGAACTCACTGTGTAGCCCAGGGTGGCCTCAATCTCAAGGTGATTCTCCTGCCTCAGCCTCCCAAGTGCTGGGATTACAGGCATGCACCACACCGACAGGCTAAAATGTTTAGGATTAGGAGACTCTAGCTACTGAAAAGGAATCCCCAAGCTTCCGGGGTTCATGGCAAAAGGGAAATTGTACGTACATCAATCTGAGCAATGTATGGAAATTTTCTTGCTCCTGGCAGTGCCTAAAAACAGGAAAGAGAACACAAAAAGTATAAAATTTCCCCAAAAGGGACCTTACCTGCTGGCTGGCTTGCCAAGATGTGTCTGTGGGTAATGGGATCTGGGACAGGTTCCTAGGTTTTTGTGCATGATGAGTAAAGAATTTGATGTAGCATTCAACTTAAGGGAAAAGCAGCAAAGTCTATTAGGGCGATAGTATACTCACAGTGAGCAGGCTTTTGCTTGCATAAAGAAAATGAAATAAATTCCTATGTGAACTACAATGAAAATACAAATAAAACTCTGCCACAGAAATAATCTTTACTTCACACTTATCACACCTAAGACGGTTTTCACATGAGAACAGCATGTCCCATACACAAGTACTGCTTACATTGATAGTAACATGTGTTTTGTTTTCCTGTCTTCTTTGGTGGGATATACTTGACATTTTGCTGGTCTTCTGTTTCTTAGGAGGTTCTTGTGATGTTTCACCTGTCCTAGAATTTTTTTGTGGAGTTCTTTGGGTAGATACATATTGTTCTTCCTCTGTTGTAATTGATCACTTATCAATTCCAATCCCAATCCTCTAAGAAAATTTCTCCATGATATTTTGTCCTCGTTATTTTCTTTGTAAACTATGAAACTATTTATGCCTGACATGTTTAGCATCCAGTAAAACACAACCATTGGAAAAAAAACCACAACCATTGGTCAGCGCTTTGTGTTTCAAGTGACATTATAGTTGCTGCATAACTCATCAACAATATCTACTCTAGGGCTGGGGATTTAGCTCAGTGGTTCCACCGCCTGTCCCACAGGCACAAGGACCTGAGTTCAATCCCCGGTACCAAAAAAACCCCAAAAAACAATATCTACTCTACCTTTCATTTTGTTGTAAAATGTGACCATTTCTGGTTTCAGAGGATTCACCATCAATCTTTTTTTTTTTTATGCTGGGGATCGAACTCTGGTCCTTGTGCTTTCGAGACAGGCGCAGCACCACTGAGCTAAATCCCAGCACTATCTATAATCCTTTTGTTTCGAGACAGGGTCTTCCTATGTAGTCCATGCTATCCTGGAACTCACTAACTCACTATGCACAGGCTGACCTTGAACTCATAGGATCCTCTTGCCTTAGCCTCCTGTACCATCACACTCCCAGGCTCACTATCAATCTTACCATCCTGATGTAATGTTGACAGTATCGGTACCACTTTGTTTTTCTATACCATATAGGAGGCCAATTTATGTCTTTCTAAAATCCAAAGATTGTATTATACATTTCTCTATTGTGAACTTGCAACATGTTTTCAGGAGTCTTAGTTTTATTCTTGCCTATAGTTCTTGTGCTGATCAACTGGTATTCTTTTAGCAAATGTAACATCAGTGGGTAACTTGTGAACCAGTTGTCAAATGTGACATTTGGGTTACTTTTTGAAATAGGTGCAACAAGTCTGTTCATAAAATCATATGGTTTATTATTGCACAAAGAAAAAGACCTGGTAGCTGAGTCCAGGATAAATTTCTATATTCAAGGTATAAAGTGTCTTGCATCTACCAGGACGTATATTTTTATACCATATTTGGCAGGTTTACCTGGCATATATTGCCAAAAGCTTCAACCACCATGAAATGATGCAAGTTGTTTGTCAATTATCATGTATTCAGATGATGTACAAATTGCTTGACAGTTTGAAACAAGGCTTTCAACAAATGAGCAAATAGCTAAATTGTTGGATTTTTTTCCTTTCTTGGCAGGTCTTTTTGTCATCAAAATGTAGGTTATTTTATTTATGTTTGGTACTGGGGATCGAACTCGGGACCTTGAGCTTGCCAGGCAGGCAGCGGCACCACTGAGTTAAATCCCCGGCCCAAAATGTAGGTAATTTTAAAAGAAACCAAATATCTTGAGTGTCATTATTGTTCTAAAAATCTCAACACCACATCTGTCACTTCTCCATAAATCCTTTAGATTCTGATAATTAGAATGATAACGTCCTGCCAAGAAGGCTTTTAGTTCAGATAGTGAGGTATCATGATAAATATATTTTTGAGCATTACTATTGATGCATATAGGATGCTTTATTGTATTTCATTATTAGTGTATTTTAAAACATCTTACAGCATATCATCCATTACAAACAGTTTCCAACATTGAATCACAGTGTTGGCATTTTGTCCCATATGTTGCACCCTAGACAAGAATCTAATAACATTTTCTGTTTTGTTTTTATCTTTGACAGTTACTTGCTGGACAGAAGAAAAGCTCTCCCTTCTGGACGTTTGAGTATTATCAAACATTCTTTGATGTGGACACTTACCAGGTTTGTAAACCAGTTGTATCCTTCCTTTTACACAAGGGAGATAGATGTGTTTCTTCTGTGATTAAACAGTCAAATCATGGGAAAGTCTTTCTGTACTAAAAGAGGTCTTACAAAAAAAAGGGTTACTACTTATGTGAAAGTACTATCATAAAAGCTGAAGTAACTGAGTTTCACTTTTGTCTTAGTTGAATTTATTAAACTTCTAAAAAAAAAGTACTCTGTAGAATTACTGCTATGTTGTTTTCCAGGTCTTTGACAGAATAAAAGGGTCTCTTTTGCCAATACCCGGGAAAAACTTTGTGAGGTTATATATCCGCAGCAATCCAGATCTCTATGGTATGTGTGGTGCTGTTTTGATTCTTTACCACATAGTAGCTAAACTGGGCTAAATTTGTGGGTTGCCTAAAAAGTTGGAGAGTTGCATTGTTCATGGGGTCTACACTGTTTTATTTTTATTTGACTCTTCTGAGATTCAGTAGCAACCCTTGCAAAGAATTTAGGGGGAAATGCAGTTAGGTGTTATATTACCGCCACTACTACAAGCACTAGTATGCCTATTGGTGTCTTCAAATGATATTACAGACTTGAGACAAATGAAGCAAAATTGTTCATTTTACTTTATAGAGGATTTGCTGGCTGGATAAGCGTGGAGAAGATAGTCTCACACTTTTTTATTGATGTGCTAAGTTCAGCTCTCCCCTCAAATGGGCTGGTTCTCTTTGGGATTTCATCACCAGCACTGGAAGTCAGAACAGGGATGGGCCAGGGGATAGCTGTTATTCCTGACCCCCTTGCTACCTGAGAAGAACTCCAAGGTCCACCCATAGCTTCTGAGAAAACGGTCCCCATGACGGTGGCCCTCTGTGTTTGAGGGAAAATACAGCTGTCTGCATGGCAAGTGCCAGGCCAGATTCTAGACTCTTCATGAAACGGGGAGAATATCCAATATCAAAAACCAAGAAAAGTGGGAGTCCTCTTTGGAGTTTTGGAGGCTCCCTTCTGCTCAGCCCATGCACCCTGTGACATTTCTGGAAGTTCCTCTGGGATTATGGGAAGGATTTCTGGATACCTCAGAAGCCTGGTACAGAAGCCATTGTGCTACTGGCCATGGTGGTGCACACGCCTGTAATCCCAGCACTTGGGAGACTGAGGCAGGAGGATTGCTGTGAGTTTGAGGCCAGCCTGGGCTACATAGCAAAATTCTGTCTCAAAAAAAAGAAGACGCCGTTGTGCTGGCCTGTGCCTCTCATTCAAGAGTATTCAAGATGGTTTCCTAGCTCTCCCACTCATCCTTCTTATTTCCAGCCTGAGGATTTCTGAGGAGCAGGCTCTGTGTCTGAGGAATCTGTGTCTCCAGTGCCTGGCAGGCATCTTGCTACAGAGCAACTGCCCCACAGTTTTTAGGCACCTTACCTGTCACATGGTGGCCCTGCCTGGAAAGATTTCCAGGCAAGGCTGTTGTCTCAGTCCCAAGGAGGAAGAAGACAACCAGCATCTATTGAACACCCCACAATTACAAAGTGTGGAGATGAGCAGTATTGTATTTTACAATATTTTATTTCTTATGCTCCAAGGTTGCTTATCTTATAAAAGAGAACCCTACCCATACCCATAGAGTTACAGTAATATCAGACACAACTCAGAGTGTTTATTATCATGTGTGCCAGACACTGTTATCAGGGCCAAACCTGTATTAACTCATTTACCCCAGCTTTACGAGGCAGGTGTTACTATTGTCTCCATTTGATAGATATGGACACTGAGTCACAGAGGCCCGGCCACTTGCCCAACACCATATGGCTAGGGAGTGTCTGGGCTCAGTTCTCAGATCAGCACCATTGCTCATACTCCGTCTTCTCTGTCATTATGCTGTGCTATTTCTCATGACAAAGCCAGGGTTTGAACCCACAGTTTGCTTCCTGCCATAATACTAGTAGCCTCATGACCTTTTAGACATGGTTAAAATTCAGTAAATAGCAGAGAGGCCTGGGCATGGCAGAGTGGGTAGGAGGAAGGTGATCAAGAAATAGAGGAGAGATGTGTCAGTATGTAGAGTCTGGGGAGAAATTGATGAATTAACCTACCTTTCAACTTAAAGTGAATATTTCTGTATAATAAAATAACTAAGTTTTTTGTGGTTTTTTTGGTACCGGGGATTGAACTCAGGACCTTGTGCTTGCAAGGCAGGCAGCAGAACCACTGAGCTAAATCCCCAGCCCACAATAAAATAACTTAAAAAAAAACCACCACAGAGCAGAAGAAATGTATTTGCAGTGCACATAATCACCAGAAATTAAGAAGTAAGAACTGTAAATTTTAGGTATTAAAGAGCTGGGGGAAAATGGACAGTCCAGAGAAGAGAACACCCAAATAACCAATAAAAACATAAAATGCCCATCCCCACCTGTTATCAAGGAGCTAAAAACTAAAACAAGACATTTATCCCTATCTTTTTTTTTTTTTGGTACCAGGGATCAAACTCAGGACCTTGTGCTTGTGAGGCAGGTGCCAGAACCACTGAGCTAAATCCCTGGCCCTTATACCTGTCATTTTAGCAAGCGTATTGAGGTTGGCTTGTCTTTAGTCATGTATTCAATTAATTCAACAAACATTGAATATTTACAATTACAGGTATTTTGTATACAACAGTGAATAAAACAGATTAAAAATCCCTGCCCTTAAGTAGCTTATAGTCTACTGAGTTTAACAATAAACAAAGAGAGTACTTAAAATATATACGGTAGTTTGCAAGTTACAAGTCTAAGGTGAAAATTTAAAAGCACGGGCCGGGGATTTAGCTCAGTGGTTTCACTGCCTGCTGTGCAAGCGCAAAGACCTGAGTTCGATCCCCGGTACCAAAAAAAAAAAATTTCAAAGCACAGTCAGGACCTGAAATGTTTGGGGGGGGGGCGGGCTAGAGGTTTTTTTGAGTAAAACCCGAAGGAATTGGGAGTGATTCCTGTAGCTAGCGAAGGAGAGAACATTAGAAGCAGCAGGATCAGCCAGAGCACAAACCCTGAGGTAGGAGTGGCCTGCTGTGTTCAGAAGCAGCACAGGCTGGCCAGGTGGACAAGGAGGTTGAGCAGATCAGGGAACCAGACCGAATGGGCAGACTGAGACATTTTTAACCTGTGACCTGTGGCTTGGCCAGTCCTACCTTGCCTGGGTCGCTGTGAGTGAAGAGGAATTGCCTTAGGCTGCATGTTAAAGGTATAATAGAGTTAACATATGTAAGTAACAAAATCTCCTTTTAAAAATATTTTTGTTTGTTTTTTGGTACCGGGGATGGAACTTGGGTCCTTGCGCTTGTGCAGCAGGCGGCGAAACTACTGAGCTAAATCCCCGGCCCCTTAAAAGTATTTTTAGTATAACAGGATTGGGGGTGTTGGATATACCTGACTGGGTCTTGTAAGTCACCTTGAGGACTTTGGGTTTTATTGAATGAGAGGCCATTGGAGGATCTGAGCACAGCAGTGAGAGACTCTTTTAAGTTTGATTGATTTGGTAAAGGAGATTGAACCCAACACCATTGCACTGAGCTGAATCCCTAGTTCTACTTTCTCCCTCTGTCCCTCTCTTCTTTTTCTTTTTTTGGTACCAAGGATCGAACTCGGGTCCTTGAGCTTACACAGCAAGTGGTGAAACCACTGAGCTAAATCTCCCCCCCACCCCATGTGGTGGGATTATACGCGTGCACTACGACACTTGGCTATCTTTTTTATTTTATTTAATTAATTTATTTATTTTTTATCTTTTTTATTTTGAAACAGGGTCTTGCTAAATTGCCCAGACTGGCATCAGGCTTATCCTCTCGCCTCAGCTTCCAGAGCTTCTGGAACTACAGGGATTACATTCAGCTCCAAGTCAGATTTCATACACATTGATGTTGTTATCAAGGGCATAGAGCAACAAGAGTGTTTTAATGGATGTGTAGCTGGTACACAAATTAGAGCAGTGTGAAGATGCTTGGGCCCTGCAACTCAGCAGTTCTGCATTTAGATACATATTTTTAGAGAAACTCACATATATAGAAGATGACATAAAAAAGAATGTCATTCACTGCAGCACTGTTGCTTGTAACAGCAAGTATTTAAAAACCACCAAAGTATTCATCAGCAGGAAAATGGATAGGTTGTGATATATTCATACACAGAATTCTCTAATTCTTAGAGTGGGATCTTGATATGAACATCAATGTAGGTAAATCTCAGAACAATGGCAAATTTTAAAAAGCATGTTGTGAAAGAATATGAATGGTATGACACCATTAAAAAGATTTTTTTTGAGACACTTTGTTGCCCAAGCTAATCTTGAACTCATTGGCTTTAGCAGTCTTCCTTCCCTAGCCTGCCATGTAGTTGGGAGTACAGGTATGTGCACGAATCTAGCTTATTATTATTACTATTATTTTGGTACGGGGAATTGCACTCAGGACCTTGCACTTTCGAGACAGGCGGCGGAACCACTGAGCTAAATCCCTGGCTCTTAATCTAGCTTAAAAAGATGTTTATAGTGGCAAGATAGGCAGACTGGTGTTTATCATTGTTTGTTCTCTATGTTACAGATATATCATAATATAAAAATGCATAATATGAAAATGTGATTATAGGTGCAGTCTAAATTAAGTCCTTCTCACTTCTACTCTAAAATGAGTAGGAATTTGGCCTGGAAGGGTGAGAGAAGGCAGGGTGAAGCAACATGGTGGCACTGGGCTAGTGTGTGTTTCATGAAGCAGGAGTCCCAGCTTCCTGTGGGGGTGGCTGGAGCAATTCTTGAACTCTGATCACAGTGGACCTTTTTATATAAGCCTGAGGGATTTGGCTTTTTTCCGTAAGCATTAGGAGTTCATCGAAGGGTTGCAAACAGGAGAGAGTGAGATTAGAATGCTAAGAGCTAGGTCAGTTTTCTTGCTCCCCAAGGATGAGTTGTTGAGATTAAACTTAGACAAGCAGAATGGGGGAGCAGATGTGGATGACCTTTCAGGCTACCTGAAAATTTCTTGCCCCCACCTTCCACTGTGCTAGGGCTGTTAGACAGCTTAGGGCATGGGGCAGCCAGAGATTCTGGGCAAGTCTTTAAATCAGTACAGTTGGCCCCCAGATCCATAGGTTCCACATCTGCAGATTCCACTAATCATAAATCAAAAACATTTGAAAAAAATACTGCATCTGAGCGGGCCATGGTGGTGCCCACCCGTAATCCCAGCACTCAGGAGGCTCAGGCAGGAAGACTACTGCAAGTTCAAGGCCAACCTGTGCTACATAGTGAGTTCAAGTTCAGCCTGAACTACATAGCAAGACCTTGTCTCAAAAAACAAAAAAAATGGGGCCGGAGATTTAGCTCAGTGCCACCAGGCCTGCCTCACAAAGTATAAGGTCCTAAGTTCGATCCCTGGTACCGCAAAAAAAAAAATTGCTTCTGTACTAAATAAATACAGACTGTTTTTCCTTCTCATTATTCCCTAACCAGTACAGTATAATAGTTCCTTATGCAGCATTTACATTGTATTTGGTATTGCAGGTAATCTAGATATAATTTAAAGTGCATAGGAGGATGTGCATAGGTTATGTGCAAATACTATGTAATTTTATCCAAAAGACTTGAGTGTCCTCAGATTTTGGTGGCCTTGAGGCCCTGGACCAGTCTGCACAGATACCGAGGAACAGCAGTGCACTCAAATGTCTCCCCATGTCAGGCTGCCTGTTGTCCTCAAGATAAACTCCTAACTCACTGTCAGGGCTTCTGAGACCCTTCATGATCTGGTCCAGCTGCAAATCTCTGGCTACTCCCAGCCTCACATTTCTTTGCCCTTGAATTGTTTTCTCTTGTTTCTGGGTCTCTGTTTATGCCATTCTCTCTTCCTGGATCATGCTTTTCTTCTGCCTTCACTTACAGACTCCCGAGCTTCTGTGGATCCCAGCTTAGATACCACATTGTCTGCATGTAGTGCTTTGCCTGTAGTCCCATGGTCTGCCTGGACTCTTGAGGTTAGGTGTTTTCTTCTCTCTCTCCCCAGGATGCCCAAGTGTGTTGGAGGCCATGACTGTGCCTCTGTTGCACATCATCATGTCCCCAGCACCTAGCTCAGGGCCTGGATGGTACTTAGTGACTGATAGGATATGATTCTCAACTTGTGATTCTCCTGCCTCAGCCTCCTGAGTAGCTGTGATTATAGGCATTTGCCACTATGCCTGGTTTGTTTTGGTTTTTGTCTTTCTATTGGAACTTTTTTTTTTTTGGTACTGGGGTTCAAACTCGGGTCCTTGTGCTTGCGCAGCAGGCGGTGAAACCACTGAGCTAAATCCCTGGCCCATGTTTGTCTTTCTTTTGGTACTAGGGATCGAACTCAGGACCTTGCGCTTTCGAGGCAGGCACGGTGCCACTGAACTAAATCCCCAGTCTTGCTTTTTGTCTTTTATGTGGCTGGCTGTCAGAACGATACAGTGTGGTTTGGCCCTGACTACAGTAGAGAGCTTGTAGTTCTGTGAGGAAACAGGCATTTATGGAAAGCTGATGTTTGGGACTCTGGGGCATCCTATTGATGTCACTTGCCAGGAGCCAGAGCTTGGGTTTGAGAAGTGCTCATCCATTTCTGCTACTCCTCTCCCCTAGTACAGTAATTTCCTTCATTTTATCATCTGTGACGGTGCCTGAAATTATCCCAAAGGGTGTTGTGACATATTAGTGAAATTGAAAAATGAAATTCATAAAATCTCTCAATTTAAAAATTACATTTGTTAGCCAGGTGTGGTGGCGCATGCCTTTAAACCCAGCACTTGGGAAGCTGAGCCAGGAGAATTGCCTTGAGGTTTTTTTTGTTGTTTTTGGTACCGGGGATCCAACACAGGACCTTTTGCTTGCGAGGCAGGTGGCAGAACCACTAAGCTAAATCCCCGGCCCTAGGGTTGCCTTGAGTTTGAGGCCAGTCTGGGCTACATAGTGAATTCAAGTCCAGCTTGAACTACGTGGTGAGACCCTGTCTCAAAAAAAGTAAGTGGGCTGGGGATTTAGCTCAGTGGTTCCACCACCTATCTGCCTGTCTTGCAAGCGCAAGGGTCCTGAGTTTGATCTCCGGTACCAAAAAAAAAACCAAAAACAAGTAAGCAAAAATTACATTTGTTCTATGTTATACTTTTTCTAGGTAGGGAGAGACAAGGATGTTGCTCCTGAAATCAAACCTTTGATGAAAGGAGTTTGCAAACCATGGCGTACTCATCCACTCAGTGGAATGTTTTATAACCATTTAGAGGATAGGCGGACTTTTAAAAATGACTAGCTATGGCTGGGGATTTAGCTGAGTGTTCCACGGCCTGCCTCGCAAGCTCAAGGATCAAGTTCAATCCCCAGTACCAAAAAAAAAAAAAAATGACTAGCTGGAGTAGAATCTAAGCTATATTAAAATAAAAGTAGAAAGCTGCCCAGCAGAATATAAATGTATGTCATCATCTGTATAAAACAAACACGCACAGTCTGGCATAGTGGTGCATGCCTGTAATCACAGCACCCTAGGCAGGCCAAGGGAGGAGGATCCCAAGTTCAACCCTAACCTGGGCAACTTAGTGGCTTAATGAGACCCTATCTCAAAAGTTAAAAATAGGCTGAGGATGTAGCTTAGAGTAAAGGCCTTGGGTTCATTCCCCTAATTAATTAAGTGAATGAATGGGGAGATAGCTTAGCACAAAGGTTCTGGCTTCTCTCCCCAGTCAATCAATAAGGCTGGAGGTGTAGCTCAGTGCAGAGGCCCTGGATTCAATCCCCAGTTGAAAAGAACAAAAATAAAAACAAGCAAATGCACGTGCGTGCACACACACTCACTTCTATGTGTACAATATTTGTGGTAGGATTTCCTGGAACCCAGCTACAGTGGCAAGCTCTGGGGAGACAGAATGGAGAGCTAGGGCCCTGCTGAGAGGGAGGAAAACTTCACTCTTCTCTGTATTCCCTTTTCTACCTTTTGAACATTGCACTGTGTGTACGTATTACCTTTTGTTAAAGAAAAAAAGAAGAAAAGTCTTAAATTGCCCCCTTTCAAACACAAGGATGGTGATATAATAGGGTGGATTAACTCCTGCCTAAAGTGTTGCCCTTGCCTTAGTCTTCACTGATGCTGCAGAAGAACCTATCTGATTTAACTTGTTTTTCTCTGGCATTAACATTTGACACTTAGATAAGGGAACTAATCATTGCTTCTACATTCTGATGAAGGTTTAACCAAATATCTGTGAATTTTCTTGATGATCCTCCAATAAAAGAAACTATACATGAATCTGTCTTATTCACCTAATTGTGGGAGGTAGTTTGGCCTCTGGATTCTAATCTCCCTCGTCTTTCAGCCAAGTAATTGCTGAGTTGTGTTTTGAAATTTTTAAAAAGAAAATCCCCATTAAATAAGTGTTGAGTGCATCCAAAATTCATTTTCCATCACTTACATGAATGAGGAGAGGAAGGTAAATTATTCTGTAAGTGTCTAAAGGCTATTGGTTCATTTTCCTGTGTCTGAATTTTCTGCTTGCTTTGCAGGGCCCTTTTGGATATGTGCCACATTGGTCTTTGCCATAGCAATTAGTGGGAATCTTTCCAACTTCTTAATCCATCTGGGAGAGAAGACATACCATTATGTGCCCGAATTCCGAAAAGGTTGGTGAATAGTGTGGCTCATTTAGATGCTGTCAGTTTCTTAACCATGAGCTCTTTTACCCCTGAGCCCATGGGCCCCATGTCTTGGCGCTGCAGCCCCTGCCTTCTCTATTTTAAAGTTGAAACATCCCTCCTGGCTCAGGGTTACCACCCATTATTTTTTTCCTACTGTGGTAAAATGTTTGTAACATAAAACTTAGCATTTTAAATGTATGCAATTCAGAGGTATACATACCTTCACAGTATTATAAATTTACATAATTTTTAGGAAAGCCACAAAGCAAGATCCAGTGGCCCTTGGAATTTATTCTTTTAAAAAAGTAGAAAATAACTAAAAAGCAGTGTGTGTGAAAGTCTTCATTGTAGCATTTTCATACTGTCCCAGTCCTGGAAACAGTAGAGGCATTGTTGTTTAGCTTGTGATGGCTCAGATGGCAGAGATAGGCTGTGACCACTGATTATGAAGGGCAATGTAGGAAACTGACAACTGGTGCCAGACTGGTGCCTGTTCTGTTAGCAGCTTTGTTAAAGAGAAGTCTACAAGTGGTCAAGGCCTGGGTGGGAGAATGCACAAATGAATGTGACTTGGTGATGGGCTTGTAAATCACGTTCTTGTTTTAAAATTTCCTTTCCTGTGTCAATATTAGGCAGTGAAAAGGAAAGAGAGAACAGCTCTGAGGGACTCGCAGCTACCACAAAGTGAGGAAGTTTAGCTTCATAGCAGACTGACCTGTAGCACTTTCTCAAGTCGCAGCCCCCTCCCTGGCCACCCTCACTCTGAGAGGGTGTCAGTGTCCTGGACAAGAGCATCTCCAGAGCCAGAGCACTGGCTACAGCTTCTAGGTCTGCCCCTGCCAGCCTCCATCTCTTGGAACAAGTTATTTCATCTCTCCTGGCCTCAGATTCACTGGTGAAATGGAAATGATAATATTTATACTACAAGGCTGTTGTAAGAAGAAAGAATTGATACATGTATTAGAGTAGTGCTTTGTACAAAATGAATTCAATGAATACGAATAATTGCTTTCTATGATAGATGTATATGTATATATGTGTGTGTGTATATATACATGTTCACATGTGTATATAGAGACATGTGTATGTATATGAGAGTATCCGTGTACCCTTCCTTTTCTTCTTCCCCTCTGCCTTCCATGCCCATTTTCCCCTTTTTTCCCTTCTCCCTCTTGGAGTCAGACCTAGATTCAGTTCCAACTCTGTTTGTCAGTTATCTTTGGCTTGAATATAAACCTGCCTTCAAGTAGCTCCACACTTAAATAAAGCAAGATAGATGAATGGATATTGCTGTAAGTAGTACATGCTAGCTTCTATATCAGGATTGTGTGGGTGTATTACACAGAAGAGTGACCCATGCTTCCTGGGGAAGCCTAAGAGGGTCTTTATCTGTATCAGAGACTGACATGATGTACCAGTAAGATAGTCACAGCCACGTCAATAAGCATTTTCCCATTTTATGGAAAGAGTATGAGTAACAACTGGAGTTAAATCCAGCTTCCACCTTGTTAATTATATGACCTTGGTCAAGTTAACATCTCTGATCTAAAATGATAATATAGATTATATGAAATAATATATTAATATATAAAGCTAAGTCTTGATTGAGCATTTATTATTATTAATTCTAGCTCTACTAAGTTCTTCCCAGTTTCTACTTATTTAATTCTCCTAATAATTCTAACAATAATTTTGTTTCCATTTGCAGATAGGGAAACTAAGGCAAGAAGTAACTCACCACCTAAAAGCTTACTTTGCCTAGGATTAGAACCCATGATATCTGCATATAGACTCTGCTCTGTGCCTTATCACACATCCTTGACTGTCTGTTATACTGAGTGTAACGCCTGATGGCCAGTATGTGATCGATAAATAGCACCTGTCACTAGAGTTTCATTCCTCTTCCTTTGGTTATCCAAAGAAAAGGCATTATGTCAACAAAATTCTGTCTGGCTTAATGAGGGTTCCAATGTGAAAAACCTGCTCCAGGAGCTCCAGATGTTTTGGATAATCACATCTTTTTGTTTTGTTTTGTTTTTTGGTACCAGAGATCCAACTTGGGACCTTGTGCTTGTGAGGCAGGTGGTGGCACCACTGAGCTAAATCCCCAGCCCTAGACAATCACAGCTTAACCAGAATCTGATGTAATTGCTAAGGGGCGGGTTGTTCTTACCAGAGTGTATTAAGTGAACTGCCTGCTGGTTTCCACATAGGAAGGGCTAGTGAGTGGCATGCTTTATGATTTTCTGCTTCAGAAGAGGGAAGACAGTCCTGGAGGGCAGCTGCTATGAGAGAGGAAGGATCAGTGCTGTAATATACTGAACGCTGTGTTTCCAGGGGCCCCTCCCTAGCACTTCACCACTGAGACAGTTATTTATGTAAGGAAGAAAGTGAAACTAGAGAATAGTGCAAGCAAGCAATTCATCAATGAGCTGGAACTCTATATTTCAGAGACAGAAAGATCTCTAAATAGGATGGAGAGCAAGTTAATCTGTACCCAGGGCATTTTAATAAATTTGTTAAAGAAATCAGTGTCAGCTCTTGTTTTGCTAGGGAGGAGGATGTGTTCTTCCAAAGGGATAGCTGGCTTTCATTTGATTGAAATGCTCAGTATATTTAAACATTAGCAGTGTGACCCTCTGAAGTATTTCTCTTGCATAATTCAATTGTTTAATAATACTCGTTGTTAGTTATTGAATGAATTATAAAAGCCATGTAGAAGAGTACTGGTTATCACAACAAAGGCAGGTCCTAAAGATTCATTAGTTCACCGAACATTTGTCAGGCACCCACTGGGTATCAGATACTATGCTAGGCCCAGGAAATGGCAGACGAGTAAGACATGATCCCATAGTCCACTGTTGAAAATTGACATGCTAGGAGAAAGGGCCAGTAAGTTTTCAGAAGTGCTCTGATAGAATGTTACTGTGATGTGGATGAAATCTGTGTCCTGTCATCCGCAGTGTCCATAGCAGCGACAATCATCTATGCCTATGCCTGGCTGGTTCCCCTTGCTCTCTGGGGTTTCCTCATGTGGAGAAACAGCAAGGTTATGAATATCGTTTCCTATTCGTTTCTGGAGATTGTGTGCGTCTATGGCTATTCCCTCTTCATTTATATCCCCACAGCAGTAAGTACCATATTACAGAGCAAACTCTGAATGATACTCTCTTCGTGGTTGATAATTCAACCACAAATTTGACGAGGTATTGTTATTTCCAGCCTAACACTCATGTGCTGCTGAAAGTCTCCTTTGAATTTAAAGTAAATCAGGACTTGGGGGCCATGTGCCTGCCTGGCTTGCAACCCCTGAAGCATCTGCTTCAGTCTCCCTGCTGGTGGGGTTTCTCCAGCCTGTCCTGGAACCAGATGCGCATGGAGGACATGATTGGCTCAGGGATTTATAAATGTATGTGTCTAGAACAAAAAAATACTTCTCTGAAATGGCACGAAATAACCCCTGCCTGCCTTCCTTTTCTCTTCTTTCAGATACTATGGATTATTCCCCAGAAAGCAGTTCGTTGGATTCTAGTCATGATTGCCCTGGGCATCTCAGGATCTGTCTTGGCAATGACATTCTGGCCAGCTGTTCGTGAGGATAACCGGCGCATTTCGATGGCCACAATCGTCATGATTGTGTTGCTTCACATGCTTCTTTCTGTAGGCTGCTTGGTATGGTCTCATTCCTAAATTCTTTTGGCAATCACTTCTCAGCCTTTTGGCTAAGATCAAGTGTAGTATCTGAATTCTTTTGGCCTGTTTTATACACAAATTCTAAAAGACTTCAAACTGTTAGGCATAACATTTCCTTTAAAATTGACTCCATGGCTGGGTGTGGTGATACATGCCTGTAATCCTAGCACTCAGGAGGCTGAGACAGGAAGATCACAAGTTCAAGGCCTGCCTAGGCAATTTAGCAAGACCCTATCTCAAAATAAAATTTTAAACAAGGGGTAAGGTGTAGCTCTGTGGCAGAATGGTTTGTCTAGTATGCCCAAGGCCCTGAGTTCCATCTCCAGTATCACTCACAAAATAAAATAATCCGATTCCATGAAATAAACCTTGTTTTACATTCCTGGAGAGATGTGATAAAGTCATGAGAATTTAATTCCATTAGTGTCTGGCTAGAAGGCCAGCTGTGTTGCCCACTGACTGTGTGAGCGCAGCCATGATTCTGTATTTCTGAATCAATCTCTTCATCTGCAGCATGACTGTATTTCTTTCTTTTTTTTTTTTTTTGGTGCTGGGGATTGAACTTGGGACCTTGTGCTTGAAAGGCAGGCGCCGGAACCACTGAGCTAAATCCTTGGCTCATGACTGTATGTATTTCTTGCCAGAGGGTTGTTCTGAGGATCAAACAAAATAATATAAAGAAAACACTTAACACTTAACAGACGTGGAGGTGCACACCTGTAATCCCAGCACTCAGGAAGCTGAGGCAGGAGGATTGCTGTGAGTTCAAGGCCTGCCTGTGCTACATAATAGGTTCAAGGTCAGCCTGAACTTCATAGTGAGACCCTATCTCAGAAACAAAACTTAACGTTGACTCTGTCCTGTAAATTAGGTCCCTTTTCTTTGATCCCAAGGAGACATGGCTAATCCCTTGAAATGCTGCATGACCCTGGGGACCCTTCTGTCTATTGAAGAACAGCATCCTTTTCATTGTGATTAAATTGCTCTCACTGGCATCTTCTCATCTTCTGTATTTTTTCCCATTGTATATATGGCTGAGAAGTTGGTGAGGGGAAGAAGCAGAAAGAAAAGACATCATCTCTTTCAGCTCTGTAAGAACTAGAGAGGAGCAGGGAAAGATTATCATTTTCTTAAGGAACCCATTTCATATGGTAACTGCAGCAAAGTCTTTTACTTCCTATCCCCTTACTCCTTTCTGAGGTAAATGGCTCTGAAGCTAGTGTTTTCCTGCCTATCTTGATGCTCAAGAACATTGTAGAAGAGTCTGGGGATTTAGCTCAGTGGTTCCACCACCTGGCTCGAAAGCACGAGGTCCTGAGTTCAATTCCTGGTACCAAAAAAAAATGCATTGTAGAAGAGAGCAGTTATGGAGTATAAAGAGCCTTAGACGGGGAGGTACTTAGCATTATGAACTCAGGCAGCTTAACTCTCAAGACCTTGGTTTCCTTGTCTGTCAGAGATTCCCATTTTCCTGGGCTTTTGTGAGATACAGTGAGATGGCTGTGGAAACCCTTCATATAACTATGCAGGGTGGAAAGATGTTAGGAAAAGAGCCCCAGGTCATCAGAAGCTGCCAGGGCCAGTCTGTCACATAGCGCTCCTTGATGCCCAGGTGAGACAGTGGTCTGAGATCACACAACTCATGAATGGACTAAAGCTCAGGCCTCTACTCTGCAACAGTGTCCTTTCATTGGTGTCTCTCACAGTGACTTTCCATCTCTCTGCTGAGTTTATTGTCCATTATATACTTGGCTGAGAAGCTGGAGGAGACAGGAGATAGGCCTCACTGTTCAGCCCTGCATGACATAGCACGTGGGACTGTGGGGCAGGGTGGTCCTGGGTGGGAGCAGGGAAGGCATGATTTTATCCTCCTCGAGGAAGCTTAGTGTTCAGCCGGAGGCCCACTGTGCCTGTGCACTGTTCTCCACACTGGAGATGCCTCCTCCTTTCTGTTTGGAGGGCAGCTGGCCCAGAAGTGAGAAGACTTGGTGCCAGCCCCCACTCCATCCCGCCCCCCTCTTTGGTCATTTCCTGTCTCAAATTCTTGCCTCCTTAGAAAAAGGAGCTGATTATGCACGCCATATTAGCATCTTTGCTGCTGTAAGCACTGCATTATACTTGCAACATGAAAAATATGACAAGTGATCCAAACAAGACATTATTGTTATTATTGCCAGGATAGAAAGAGGAATTGGCAGGGGAGTCATTTGAGCTGAAGGGCAAAGGCTGAACCAGACAGCCTGGCTTTCTCCCTCTCCTTTGGGGAGCATGGAATGGTGTTTTTGCCTCAGTACAGCGAAGCATGTGACAGCCTCACACCTGCTGAGGGCCCCTCAGTGAGCGCACTTGTAAATGATCCCCCAGATTCTGTAGGAACACACCTGGCAGGCATGGTGGAGGCTGCATCTGGAGCACATAGAGTCACACAGCCTGGGTTTGAGGGGAACTGCTGACAGCAGAGGATCTGTGTCCTGTATCCTAGAAAGCCTGTGATCTACTCTGAGGGCTCATGGGCTGGGTATATACCTGTTGCTGAGTTGCAAGCTGTGTTGGAGAACAGAAGAACTGGATTGGAATCCAGCTCAGATACAGTTGTGCAACCTTGAGAAAATCTCGTTTTGAACCTTAGCTTTCTCATCTTTAAACTGGAGATAAAGCCAGGTATTGTGATCACACCTGTAGTCCCAGCACTCAGAGACTGAGGAGGAAGATGGCTGCATTTGAGCTCAGCCTAGGCAACTTAATGAGACCCTGTCTTGAATAAAAAATAGAAGAGGGCTGGGACAGAGCTCAGTGAGAAGAGCCTGGGTTTAATACCCCAGTACTGAAAAAAAAGAAACAGCCCTTCGAGATTGTCTTTTGCAGTCCTGGAGTTCTACAGATAAGAAAGCTGGGGGCTGGGAATTTAGCTCAGTGGTTTCATCGCCTGCTGTGCAAGCGCAAGGACCCAAGTTTGATCTCCTGTACCAAAAAAAAAAAAGAAAGCTGAGGCTCATGGGGCGGAGGGGTTTGACCAGAGCCACTGTGTGAGCAGCTGGAGAACCTGGGGCTCTGGCTCTCTCCATCTCACCAGGGTTTTGTCAGGAGCCAGGGAGTTTCTCCTCCTGGGTCGCAGGCCTTGGTGACTGAGGGCTCCTGCAGGAGGACTAGGACTAGAATGCTCCGTCCTAAATTCAGAACTTTTCTTTCCCTGTCCTAGAAAACAGCTGCAGGAAGAGGCCTTAGGGACGAAGCCTTTTAAACAGTAGAATTGCTGCGAGGATGGATGAACTAGAGGCATCCAGAAAAGGTGTTAGTGGGGGACTTTCTGAAAAGGATGCTTGAAGAGCCGAGTACAGGGATGTGCGGGACAGGCTCCAGCGTGTCGCATTGGTGCCCCCTTCTGGCTGGTAAACGACAGTTGGTGAAAGTGGTCTTTGGTGACTTGTTAACTTCATCAAAGTGAACTGTTGGCAGGGTGGGTCGTGAGCAGTTGGCATCCCTTGCCATAGGAGTAGATTTACTTTCCCTTTGAAAAGCTGGTGTTCAAGGTAGCAAGGTTGATATTTTCCTGGGCTAATGTTAGGATTCACAGACCTTGAGACAGGAGGAGCCTCCTTGATGTCTTCCTTCCCCTACCCACTTCTGACTTTTGACTGTTAAATTGGAGGTGCCAAGTGGAAGCTTATCAAACCTTTCATTTCCAAGTGGAAAAATTAGGAGGGGAGCATGCCCAGCACTTTCTTTTCAAGGTCTTTGCAGAAAGCCAATGAACTGCTTGAACAACCGTCTGGCTATAGTTTGCGCTGTTAACTACTGATGGTTTACTTAGTGTGCCAGGCCCTGTGTGCAGGGCTGGTGGCACAAAGGTGGATGGAGAGACTGTCCTGGGAGAGACACTAACGTAGCATTTTGGAGTCAGGTGAACCTAGCCTTGAGTCCTGGCCCCACCATTTATGACTGTCTGACCCCATTTCTTCATCTCTTAGATGAGGATAATTGTAATGACCTCACAGAGTTTTTTAAGTCATGTGACATAAGTGCCCAATAAATGGCTAAATTTAAAAATGTACGAACACAGATGCCAAGAAGAGGTTGCTATCTTGGCTTTCCTCACAATAAACTGCCCTGCTTTCTCCAGGGTGTACTTTTTCTTGAGACAGGGTCTCGCTATGTAGTTTGGATTGGTCTTAAATTCACTATGTAGCATAGGCTAGCCTTGAACTCATAACAGTCCCCCTGCCTCAGCCTCCCGAGAGCTGGGATTACAGGCATGAGCTACCACACCGCGCTTCCAGGGTGTACTTTTGTCTTGCTTTTTCCTCTTTCACTCATCCCAAGCTTGCTCTGCAGAGTCAGTTTCTCACTCTTCGCTTTTACTTTTTCAAATAAACTTTGCCACTGCTTTAAAAAAAAAAGGTACTCGGGCCGGGGATTTAGCTCAGTGGTTTCGCCACCTGCTGCGCAAGCGCAAGGACCCGAGTTTGTTCCCCAGTACCAAAACAAAAAAAAAGGTACTCACAGATTAGTGAGACAGATATAGAGAGACAGTTACAACTCAGTGTGATGGCAAGTATAGGAGGAGGGACATAGGGACCACAGGAGCCCAGGACTGTTAGCATGGAGCCGGTAAGAATGCTTCCTGGACCATTGTTTGTGACTTTCCTGGCCCTCTTTTCCTGCAGGCCTACTTTTTTGATGCACCAGAAATGGACCATCTCCCAACAGCTACAGCTACTCCTAACCAAACTGTTGCAGCAGCCAAGTTCAGCTAAGGAGAAAAGTAAGGTTATATTTGTATATTGTTGTGTGGTACAGTAGAAGATGAGCAGGTGCAGCACTTACTGTTAGGATCAAGAACAGAGAGGTCCAGATGCTTTGCCTACATTTCATGTAGGGGTGTGTGTGTGTGTGTGTGTGTGTGTGCGCGCGTGTGCATGTGCATGTGCATGTCTGAATATGTGTTCTTGTGGTGGAAAGCTTCAGGTTTGAAGTCCATCTGATATTGGCCTCCTAAGTTGGGGAACATGAGTTTTTCAGTCCTACTATAAGAGAAGCCCCTGCCTTTGTCCTGCTGTCCCCCTTCCTTTCCTCCATATACCCTTTCCAGCAGCTCAACATGGGTTGGTTTCATAACCCTGGTAGTTTTTCCAGTATGTCTGTGGCTTCTCCTGCTGGCTCAGACCCTGAATTGACCCCTCTTAAATTACTCCTAGGCTTCTCCTCCAAAGCCTTCTAAACTTTTCATGCCTCATTTGTTCCTAGGGTCTCTGAGGTGATTCCACTGTCAATGGCTAGTACACTGGGTTAAAGAGCGTATGGGGGAAATACTCAACCTCAAGCCTTGCACATTGCTTGCTCCACATCTTTAGTTAACCCAGGCTGCAGCCATGCTGAACTTTGGTGTGTCTGTGGTGCTGGGGACTGAACCCAGGCCCTCACATGTGCTAGGCAAGCCTCTACCACTGAGCTACACCCTCCTTTTTGGAATAGATCATGTTAGATACTTCCAGTTCCAGTTGTCTGAGATGTTTCTACCCCTCCAACAGTCATACTTGCCTTGTGATCCTATTACATTTTGTATTACACACATATCACTCATCGTCCGTCTCTGTGTGCATCTGTCCATCCATTAATTTGTTCAGGCATTTAGTAATCCATTGGTCCTTTGTGTGCTAGTGGGTCTCCCCAGTGAGAACCAGCTCCATGAGAGTACCTTTCATTACCCACCCATACCCTGGTGTCATTGGTTGCTCAAACATTTGTGGAACAAATGAATGAAGCCACCCTTTGCACATGACCTCATTGTAGCCCAAGGACCTTTCCTGTGCTTTGTCATCACCAGCTGTGCTTTCTGCCCTAGCTGCCATCTCCCGGAGCAGTGGAGTATTATCTGTGCAAAGCCCAGGACTTTACTGTCAAGTAGAATTACAATTAAATCCTATTCCTACCATGTACTAGCAGTGTGCCTCGGCCAAGGGGCCTACTCTCTTTGACCCTTAGCTAATTATCTATAAAGTAAGGATAATACATCTTGTATTACAAGATCAGGCACCTGCCTATAATCCCAGCTACTTGAGAGGCTAAGACAAGCGCAACACATGTTTGAGCCCAGCCTGGGTAATTTACAACTTAGCGAGACCCTGTCTTAAAGGAAGAAATAAAAATAGCTGGGGATATAGGTCAGTGTGAAGACCCTGGGTTCAATCCCACACGCCTCCCCCCAAACATAGTGAAGATTAGAGATAGTGTTTATAAAAGCTCCTGGCACACACTTGCTCATAACACTTTTAATTCCAGCATTCAGGAGACTGAGGCAGGAGGCTCATGAGTTCAAGGTCAGCCTGGACCACACATTGAGACTTTGTCTCAACCCTTTCCCCCCAAAAAACCAGCCCCATTGTTAGACCAAGAATGTATATGGAAATTTGGTGGTTCCCACTGATTTTACTTTGATCCTTTACTTCTTTTTTTTTTTCTTGGTACAGGGGATCAAACTCAGGACCTTGCGGTTGTGAGGTAGGCATGGTGCCACTGAGCTAAATCCTTGGCCCCTTTATTTCCTTTTTGAAATAAAGGAAGAGGAATTCAGGTTGCAGGTCCTGCAGTCCACAAGATGTGACTGGTCAAAGCTGCCTTGGCCAGGGATTTAGCTCTGTGGTTCCGCCGTCTGCCTTGCAAGCACAAGGACCCGAGTTCCATCCCCAGTACAAAAAAAAAAAGCTGCCTCTGGGCCCAGCCTGGGTGACTTAACGAGACCCTGTCTCAAAAAAATAAAAAAGGCCCTAGATTCAATCCCCAGTACCACGAAAACCAAATGATGATATATTTGAAAATAAATAATTGTAGAACCACACACACAAAAAAGGCTGCCTCTGGGGCCCTTGTTGGTAGGACATTCTCCCTGGTGAGTGGACTGAGCAGGGAACTATTGTAAACTGCCACAGGCCGTTGCTCTCCCTTCCTCTTTTCTCACAGGTGTGTGGTGTTAAAATCCAAGAAGTTCAAAGCCCTGGAGACAGTATGGTATTTCCCCCTCATCTTACAATAAGGAACCCAAGACCTTACCCAGGGCTGCCAGAGTTTGGTGCAGACTGATATGTGTGCATCTCATTTCATTTTATGAAACACTGTCCCGGTCCCTCTTGTTGCTATTCTTTTTTTATTTTTATTTTTTTCTCGTTGCTATTCTTACCAGCCCTGTCCACCTCACTATACAGATGAGGCCAGAGTAAGTCAGTTGCCTGAGATCTATCGCTTAGAGGCAGAGCTGGGATTGACTTTGGGTCTTGGGGAGATATTTTCTGAGTTTTTCCACTCTCCCATTTGTTGGGATGATACTCTTTTTACCTCTAAAACTCTCTGCTGCACTGCTGGCATTTGGCTTTTTTTAGAGCCCTCCTTTGCTGCTCTAGCAATGCTGTGGCTCTGAGATCCCCACACTTCTTGACTACATTCTTCTAAGTCACAAGTTTGAGTCTGACGTGACTATTCTGTTGCTGCCCTGTAATAGCACCAAAGATTTAGCTCTTTATGGTTCCTGGGGGTAGGGCATGGGGGCATTGCTCAGCTTGTTCCTCTCCTTCAGGTATGGGCCAGGCCTGGGGCCTCATCCAAATGCTGCACTGCGGGAAGAGCTTCCCAGCTCACGTGGCACCAGCAGGACTCAGTTCGTTGTAGCTTGTTAGGATAAGGGCCACCTTGCTGACTCTCCAGTGGAGGCCACCCTCAGTTCCTTGTCTGGTGGCCTCTTCATCTGATGGCTGTTTCATCAAAGCCATAAAGGGAGAGTCAGTAGGGAGTCTCTTAGCAAGACAAAGTTACAGTCTCATAAACTTGAAAATGACAGTTATCACATAGCTGTATTCTGTTGGTTAGAAGCAAATGACACTCAGGAGAAGGGGATGACATGGGGCATGAATGCCTTGGATTGTTGCAGCCATTTTCAAGTCTTTTCCACAAGCACAAACTGTTGTAGTATGTGTATATTTGAAATATCTGCATATACCTTTGTCCATTTAGTAGCTATTAAAGCTTAGTTCTTTATTTTTTATGAAATATAAGTAGAAGTTCTCATAGCTCCTTTCACTGCCTCAGCAGGTTAGTTTTGGAGCCTCTTGCCATGGAATAAGCAATTGGTAGTTCTGTGCATCACGGTTAATTGTCTGTACCCTTGTTCTGCAGATGGACTCCAGTGATTGTTGGCAAAGAAGGCCCCAGGGCACAGTGGGCCCCTTCGTGGCACTGAAGGCCAAAGGAAGGAGACAAAGTCTTACTTGACTTGGCCTCTGCAGTGCCCAGCCCATTTCCCCTTCATAGTGGGAGGATGGGCTCAGGGCCACCCTTTACCCTTGTCATTCCCACCTTTATTGACAGTGCTCTGGCCTCTGTGGGCCAGGCCTTGGGGACCTAGAAAATCAGATTCAGCCTTGGCCTCATGGTGGGGTGAACAGCCTACTAGATAATGCCATGTGGTATGAAAAGTGCCTCAGGCATGTTGTCAACTGAGCACTGTGTGACTCAGGTGGCTGCAAGGGCTGAGAGTGGGAGTCCTTGCTAGAACTAGGTCCTGAAGGTTGAGTAGCAGACAGATAGCCAGCTTCAGGCTGATCAAGGGAACATGGTGGGTGACACCATGTGTGTCCCAGGAGCACAGTTGCCTGGACCTCTTCTTGGCCCAAGATACCCTACATCAAACTTGTGAGGGTTCTTTTGACGTCCTGCTGAGTGAGACTGCAGTTCCTTCTTTACCTTTCCTTGTAAAGTCTCCAGTCCAAGAACCACAGCTGCTGTAACCTGTGGGAATCAAGCAGAGTCCAAGGAGAGCCGGCCTCTTGGGGTCCTTGAACTCAATCTTTGACTCCATAGACTTGCTCAGATCTGTAAACTTAGGTGTCAGCATCTCCATCTGGGCGTCATGTCTTCAAATGAGAGAGACGAACAGCTCCTTTGCAGCCTCCCTGACAGAAGCATCCATCGCTTTGCCAAGAAGAGAGGCTGTCCAGGCCCTGGGTGCTGCAGACCTGTGAGCTGGCCGTGCCTTCTGCTGTAATCTCTGGACTCAAGCTCTCACCAAAATAGAATGGCTTCTAATTTCCATGAAAATCTTCCCCATGTAAATCTCTGTACATTGGCAGCCTTAGCCTGGAACTGGTTTCTGGGAGAGCTTTAACTGTTTCTCTCCCTGAAACCTCGGAATCCCAGGGGAGCTTCTGACTACTTGTAAGTAGGGAATCTCCTCCTGCATTGAGTCACTGACGTGGCATGAAAAATGTCTGGCTTCTGTCCTTCCTTCTTCACTAACTTCCTGTCTGGGGGTATTGCGTATTTCTTCTGTGAGCCAGGACCCTGGTACAGCCTGGAAAGTGGACCTGGGAAGCTCAGCTTTAGCTTGAAGCGTGGAACCTGTGAAGGGCCAAGCCCAGAGCTGGCTGCCTTCCCGTGGGTGGTGACGAGTGCCTCAGTCTGGAGGCTTCCAGCAGATAATTGTACTGCAGTGTGATAAGGGTGTTAATAATAGATGAACAAAGGACTTCTGGAGAGTCCTTTGTAATTAAAACCCTCCTGATTTGATATACAGGATCTGCATGTAATTATCTCTTTACTTGCTCATGTTGAGAGTGTTCACTTTATAAGCCACTTTGCTGGGTTTATACACATCAATTCTTTAATTCTAAAATCAGCTTTAACCCAGTGCTGTAATCTCCGCTAACACAGCATCCAGACTGCATGCGGTCACACATCACTGATACTGCTTTCCATCCTCTCCACAGGTCTGATGTGCCCCTGCCCGGAGAATGCATTTTCAGCCTCTGGGATGTTTCTTTCTGGGTTTTTTTTTTACCTCTAGTACTGGGGATCGAACTCAGGACTTTGTGCTTGCAAGGCAGGCGTGGTGCCACTGAGCTAAATCCCCAGCCCTCTTTCTCAGTTTTCTTTGTTCCTTTTCTTAAAGGTAGATTGGGGGAACCTGGGACAGGAAATGAGTTAATACAGTAACTTTTTATTCTTTTTAACTTAATGGAAAATTTTAACAGACAAAAGTAGAATAAATAGTAAATGCAAACTTACTACTTGTCTTATACTAATTATTTTGTACTGATTGTTTCAGCAGTTGCCAACCTGGGCAGTATTGGTTTATCCATGCACACATCTATTCCCCACATCTTTCCTCCACATTGTTTTGAAGCAAATCTAAGGTTCCATTATTTCATCCATACATATTTAAATTCTTAAAACACAGCTATAATACCATAATCACATCTAAAAATAGCAAATAGCAAATATACAGCAGTGCTTGAATTTCGGAATATTTTTCAAATATCATAGCTAGGCATGGTGGTGCACACCTGTAATCCCAGCACTTGAATGGCTGAGACAGGAGGATCACTGCAAGTTCAAGGCCAGCCTGGGCTACACAGCAAGACCCCGTCTCATAAAACTGAAGAAGAAAAAAAAAAGAATACTTTTCAAATATCTTAACTTTTTTTCAACTTGTTTGATTCAGATCCAAAAAAGGTCCACTTATTGTATGTGGTTGATATGCTTAAATTATAGATTCCTACTTTGACTCTCTTTTCCCTTGTCACTTGTTTGTTGAGGAATCATTTATCTTACAGTTTCTCACTGTATGGATTTTGCTGATTATCTCTGCATGATTCATGTAACATGTTCCTCTGCTGTCTGAATTACTGTTTGGATCTAAAAGCTCAATCAGATTCTTTGTTTCTTTTTTTTTTTTTGGCAAGACCACTTGATGTGAGTCGTTAGATTCTTCCCTCCCAAACTCATTACATGTATGTCTAATTATCTCTCTTTGATGTTAGTGACCAATAGCAACCAAAGCTTAAATCTGTTTCCATTAGGGCTTTTAAAATGGTGATATTTCAGTTTCATCTTTTTATTTATTAACTAGAATACTACTTTAGTAAAAACAGACTTTATCTACTATTTGGTAATTTATATGAGAAAGACAAGAGAGATGATTCCTCTTCTTTATTTATCTTCTTTCAGAGCAGTAGTTAGTTCACCAGAACTCTTTGTCAGTGCTCCATCTGCTGCAGTATGTTGCAGGTGTTACCTTTACTGATGTTTGTCCCATCTTTGGCCATTGGGAGCCTCTTTGGTTGGCTCCTGAGTCTTGCTGACATGCAGTCTCCTATGGAAAAATGTTCCAGCCTCATTTTGAACATTTCTTCTTGTAGCCCAAGCCATTTCTCTGAGGTGTTCTGGTTCCTTTTGGTGGAGAAGAGGTATTTCAAAGGCACAAGCTAGATGCCGGCGACACTCACTGCAGTGGCTTGGGCTTTGTTTTCAGGCATGTTCAGTGTTCAGAGCCAGGAAGTATGTTTGTTTGCTTGTTTATTTGCTTTTGAAAGAAGATACATTGTGAGTTCCCACTGATGCTTCCAGTTCCTGTTTAATAGTACAAGAGTTTTACTAAATGCGTTTATATTATATCTGCATCTACTTCTGCCTTACCAAGAATCTCGTGTCTCAGTGACACCAGTGTGAGAGTTAGAGAATCCAGTAAGTACTTACTTGTTTTATGTCCCATATACTCACAACAGTCTAACTAATCATAACAGCATCAGTACTACCATTAATTACTGGAAAGATTATTTTAAAATCTCCCAAGAATTTTATTTTTCTTTACATTCTGGAATGCCCTAATTCCCTTCCTTTCCTTGTCTACTTGGCACTTTTTTTTTTTTTTTTTTTTTTTTGGATCGAACTCAGGACCTTGCGCTTGCAAGGCAGGCCCAGGTTCCACTGGCTAAATTAAGAGTTTTTTCCATCATTCCTGGATTTTTTTGTTTTTTTGTTTTTTTGTTTTTGAGGCAAAGTCTCACTTGAGAATTCAGGCTGACCTTGAACTCACTATGTAGCCCAGGTTGGCCTCAAACTCACAGTGATCCTCCTGCCTCAGCCTCCCAAGTGCTGGGATTACACACATGCGCCAACACACCTGGCAGCAATTTCTTAGTGATTCTTCTGGGCCCACTTCAGATATGCTTTTCTTGTCCAGGTAATATTACTTCCTTCTCTCTGCTATTCTACAGCTCTTTGTATGTTCTTGGCAATTTGCTTATTTACTGGACTTCGTAGACTGCGGTTTCCTCAGGGCAGGGCTTTACTCACCAGTACAGCCCCAGCACCCAGCAGACACTCAGAGAAAACTTGATTTTAAACAAATAATAGCTGGTGTGCGTATCATGTGGCACGCAGAACTTTCCTGGCCAAGCTGCTTGGGAGATGTTTTCTTGGGAGGTGCCATTGACTGAGAGTCTATTCTGTGCTAGATACCTAGGTCCTGGGGTGTACAATGGAGTATTGTCCTCACATTTCCAGATTCTGCATCCCAATTTTTATTTTATTGTATTTTATTTAGTTAATTTTTGTTTTTTTAAGACAGGGTCTCACTATGTATTTCAGGCTGGCCTTGAACTCACTATGTAGCCTACGCTGGTCTCGAACTTATGGCTATCCTCCAGCCTCAGCCTCCTAAGTGCTGGCCCTAGTTTTATATCTCATGCACACAGACTAGAAGGCCCTTCACCATAGAGCATCGTAACCATAGGACCTTCTTATTGGAACTCTCCAGGCCAGGCTTAAGTGTGGGACCGTGACAAGGGAAAGGGCAGGGAACGCCTGTGCCATGGCTGGGCCACCCAGGATGGGCAGCCTGAGTCGGGTCTTAGGCCGAGAAGATGGAGAAGCAGTCTTTGAGAGGAAAGGAAGTGCTGGCTGTTGGTGACATTATGGACCATTTTGGCACAAAGGAAAGTGTCATCTTTTTTCTACCCTGTGTCCTAAGAGCTGGGAATTCCTGATCTCTTCCCGGCGGGCCACCCATTAAAAGCTGATAGCAGGAGGAGGGAATTTTCTGCCTTCAAATGCTTCTGTAATGTTTTGTTGGTTTTTTTTGTACTGGAGATCAAACTCAGGACCTTGCACTTTCGAGGCAGGTGGCAGAACCACTGAGCTAAATCCCTGGCCCTGTAATCTTGATATTAATATAGAGCAGACAGGAAGAAAGATGAGAGAAAAATCTTGAAAATAAAATCCTCAGTGCTCGTTGTGGACTGCTTTTGACCTGACCTTTATTTAGCATTTCAGAAACCCCAGTTGATGGCTACTAGTCAGTCAGGGCTTTCCTGCCAGCAGATTACAGCTTCCTTCCTTCAGCAGCCACTGTCCACAGATTTTTGCTGGCCATGGGCAGGTGCCCTGGCCTCCACTTCACCTCCACAGTGGGGCCCCGTGCAGATGTCTGCGTGTAGCTCTGTCCCGGGACATCTCAGGAAGCCTGGGCTCATTGTTGTGGGGGCAGGGGGTCTTGCAGTAGGAGCCCTTTGTGGCCACACTGCTCTGTCTCCCCTGGATTTAACGTTGTCTTGAGCCCCTCTTCCCACGCCCCCATCTCTTGCACATCCCCATGTGGGTACCCCTACCTCATTACACCCCAAACTAAACTCCGTGTATTTTCCTAGCTCACTGAATGCACTACACTGTCCCTGGCTTCAGCCTAGGTTAGTCTTCATGATGCACTATCACAGTAATGAACGATTACAATTAAACAATGTTTTATGTGTTTGATCACCTTGTTGAATTCTCTTCTATAATTCTTTGCTGAATTCTCTATAAGTTTGAGAGTTGGGACAGTGTCTGCATTGTTCATCCTGGTGCCTAGCGCCTTGGACAGTGCTTAGCACATAAGGCTTCAATAAATACTTGATGGATTCATTAAGAAATCTACCCAGTCACCCAAGCCAGAAACACAGACATCAATGTAGATTTTTCCTTCTCACCTTCCACATCTTATCAGACAGCAAGAGTGACCTTTGAAATACTTCTCAAACCTGTCCTATGTTTATCAGACCCAGAATTCACAGTTGGACCATCTCTTTTCTCTTCCTCCTTCTAACGTATCTTGTTTTCATCCATAGGAGTCTTTTGAAAATATACTGGATCATGCCTTTGACTGTATTACTTTCCTTCTTTTGGGGGCATGGGTTATTTTGAGACAGGATCTTGCCATGTAGCCCAGGCCCTCCTTGAACTCATTACATCGCTGAGGCTTGCCTCAAACTCATCTTCCTGCCTTAGCCTCCCTAGTGCTGGGATTACAGGCATGCTCACTTCCTTACTTAAAAGGATGTGGTGATGCATGCCTGTAATCCTAGCACTGTGGGAGGCTGAGGCAGTTGGAGCCCAACCTGGGCAACTTACCAGGACTGTCTCAAAAAGAGAAAGGGTTGGAATAGAGCTCAGTATGAAGGCCCTGGCTTCAATCCCCAGTATTGTCAAAAAAACACACCAAACTTTTATTTTGGGCCCCCTTGTCTAAAGAAGAAAATCCAAACTCCCTGGATTGCAGTGATCTGACCCTGCCCAGTTTGTCCTGCTTCATGTCCTTGGGTTTCAAACACCACACACACACAGATTTCCATTACCCAGATCTTTAAGTTCCTCTGCATCCACTTTATTGCTCTTGCTCTAGTGCCTAACGCAGAGCTCCCAGAGAAGAGAGAGAAGATGGGCGAAGGTTAGTGTGGGGGATCTGGGTGGCATAAGGTCCCCGGATTTCCACGGAAACAGGAAAACTTTTTAAAAAGTCAGCTCTCCACCAACAGTGATTTCTACTTTGAGCACAGAAGTTAGGGCTCAAGGCTCAAGATTTTGGGAGTTAGTGGTTAAACTTTAAACATTAATCATCCTTTTCTACAATGCAGCTCTCCTTTTTAAGGGAGAAGCTCTGACTTGAAAGTTAACTGTTTTGTTTTTCAGTTTTCTTTCATATACTGAGGAGCGTGGTTCTTCTGGACCTGGTATCCACTGCAGGAAAGCAGAGTGGCCAAAGCCAGCAGGAAATGGACAGATGGCTCCACACTGAAGCTCATTGTCTATTTAATAAACAAATTAAATGCTGGGCTGGGGGGGTGGCTCAGTGGTAGAGCGCTTGCCTAGCATGCCTGAGGCCCTGGGTTTGATTCCCCAGCGCCACAAAATGACAGCAACCAAAACAAAAATTAAATATTGTTCTGCACACGTTTCTGTCTGCTCTTCTTTTCCACCCATTGATTGCCACCCTAAGTGCTGATTGGGAGTGAAACGCGAGGGAGTGGATCCACCATGCACATTCCCTCCCAGTCACCTCCCAGTTAGATGACTGGGCTTTACTGTGGAGCCACTTCCAACACTTGAACTTCCGCTATCCTTCTCTGAATTATGTTCATATCACCTGCCTTGGCATCCTCCTCACTGCAACTGCTTGCCCTCCTGAAGTAGTCGAACAAAGGAATCTTTGGGTGGGGTTAATCGGTAATTTGAAAATTCATCTTTGTTTGCAAGATAAGGACTCACAATCTGGGTGTGGTGATGAGTCCTCTCAATACGCACTCAGAAGCTAAGACAGAAGGATTGCTGCAAGTTCAAGGCCAGCCTGGGCTACATAGTGAATTCCACGCCAGTCTGAACTACATAATAAGACCCTGTCTCAAAAAAACAAAAAAAAGTAAGTAACTTGAACAATGTGTGTGTCTGCAATTTCATGGTTCACCTGAAATTTTTCCCTGAGATTTTATCCTTACCATGCTCCAGGCTGTTAGGAATCTGATTTAATGTACTTGCTGTTAAGATACATGGGGTAAAATGGGCACATAAGTGTCTTTTAAGTAAAGCACATATTCATTGCAAGCCATTTTGACACACAGACTTTAGAAAATTGTTTTTTTTTTTCTTTTTGTGGTAATGGGGATTGAACTCAGGACCTTACGCTTGCAAGGCAGGCGGCGCGGCAGAACCACTGAGCTAAATCTCCAGCACAAATTCTCTATGATATACTGAACACTTCAAGGTCTCAGAACTTCCTGTCTAGATAGAGCATTAAAGGGAGAAACCAGTGGCTTAACCAATTTAGCAGTTTTATTGTCCCCTTGTAAACAGGTTCAGATAGAAGGAGATTCGTATGGCTGCTCCATGGTGCCACAGGTGTCCAGTGATTCCAGTCTGTCTCTTCTGCTCAGCAGGCCTTACCATGAGTTTGTCATCATGAGATCCCAAAGCGTGGGTGGTTCAGAACTCGACCCCAGGTCCCAAACCCATGTATGATCTTTCAGGCCCAATAGTGACTCTGCCTGACAGGCCACCTGCTTCATACTATGTGTAAAGCTAGAGCACTGTGACTCTGCAGGGAGTGGGCTCCCTACTATGCACTGCCCTCTGACCTCCGTGCTCTCATGCTTCTCTGGGGTTCTAGCCCTGGCCCCTTCTTTCCTAGCCATGGCCTCCCTCAGGTCCACAGAGACCCAACTTCTTGGGGGTGGGAGGGAGGAGGTCTTTGAAGATATTTTTCTCCACTCTCAGTATTCAGGACTTTTTCACTCTTGGCCTTCCCTGTCTATTTCTGAGTAGGCCCTGGGTTTTTAAACTGGCCAAAGCCTTTACTTAGGGAATCCCTTTGCAGTGAGACAACCTCTGTCTACACTAACCCCCTTGACCCTTGCCTGACGTTCCATGGGGAAAAATGGAACGCTGAGGCAGCTGATGCCTTCTCTACTTTAGTCTTGCCTGTGCAATCGCAGCAAGTGATTAAAAGCTTGACTGATCGTTCCATTTTCATTTACTGTAACGCTTGGCAGCTCTCCCCAGTTCATCTTAGCTCTCAACAGGCAGCAAGAAAAGGAAGGGCAAAACAGGCGGGCAGTTGGCTCACCTGCCTTTTTTTTTTTGGTATGGGGGAATCAAACTCGGGACCTTGCGCTTGCAAGGCAGGCACTGGAACCACTGAGCTAAATCCCCGGCCCTCGCCTGCATTTTAATGGGCTTCCTCCAATGTGTCTTTAATGGGGTTCCTCCCAGTACCTTCTGCTCAGATCTTAACTGGAGAGCAGTGTGTCACATGTTTACCCCAGCAGCAAAGGAAGCTGGAAATGCTCTTTACCTGGGCACATTGCTACCTGAATGGACCATATTACAGTTAGTAGGGAAGGAAAGGAGAGTGAGTTTTAGATGCATCATGGATCCCATACTTTTAGGAAATTAATGGATGGTGATTTGCCCATTGTCAGTTTGATTTCCCCAGTTGGCATAGTATAAAGAGAAATTAATTTGGGGAAGAAAGCAGTGGCACCAGCATAATTTCTGTAACTCCTTTAATCTCATGAAGACAGGAGTAACCAGGATAGCAATGGACAACATTTACAGCAAAACTTGGTAACAAGCCATTCCCACAGACCCCAGAATCCAAATGGAGGAAGCTATTGGCAGTGCTGACTTGCATGGTGTCTGCATTTTGGGGAAGGAAGTAGAAGGAAGCAACAGGGTATCTGAAAATAAGAGAACCCCACAGTAGCCAACAGTTGCTTTCTGGAAAATACAGCATACCCTGAGGAGGGAGCTGCAGGAGCTGGGGTTTATGTGAGTTTGCAGCCCATGAGTGCAAAGGCTCTAAGTCACATCCAAGGAGCTGGAGCAGTCCAGGTCCTGTGGACTCCAGAGCAGCCAAAGTTGGTTCCTAGGACACCAGAGAAGATGCTGCCAGGAGCAGAATACAAACAGGATAGGCCAGGATACATGCAGCAAAGGAAAGAGAAGTCTGAGTAAGAGTGGATGGTGGGGACAAGCCCAGCTCTTACACGTAGAAAGTATGAAGCCATATTTTTTTGGGGGGGGGGTACCAGGGATCGAACTCGGGCCCTTGCGCTTGCGCAGCAGGTGGTGAAACCACTGAGCTAAATCCCAGGCCCATATTTTTTTGTTTTGTTTTTTGTTTTTTGGGGGGTGTTTTTGGTACCGGGGATCGAACTTGGGACCTTGTGCTTGCGAGGCAGGCACCGGAACCACTGAGCTAAATCCCCGGCTGAAGCCATATTTTTGAGCACTTCATGAGGTCAGAAAAGAAAGCTGTAGAGTCTGGAATTTAGAAAACTGACCCTGACTCCCCTCTCCTAAATGTGAAGGAAAATAATTTCATGTGAAAGAGCAACAGAGAGGATCCCAATCCAATTTCATAATGAAGGGGTTTTTTAACAAAAAAATGAGAACAAGGAGCAGAATAACCTCCCCGAAGGTGACAGAAGCCTCCCAGATGGGCACACTCATAAAACCAAGTAAGAGCTCTAACTTGGTGGTGTTTCTCAGTGAGCTAAAAGAAATTAGAAAGTGGTTCAAGTTATGGAAAGGAAGCACTAAGCAGAATTGCAAAGCAGAAATTAGATCTCGGGAAAGAACTGGAAAGAAAAGGGAAACTCTTTTTACAAATGAAGACTGAACTAATAGGAATGCCAGTGATTGTGCATAACCAATAATGTCTTAAGGGAATAAAAAGAAAGAGTGAAATCGTTTCTCTCCCAGGATAATAACTACAAACTGAAGCATGCAAGAGAAAGTGACAAATGTAGAAGACAGGTGAAGAAGATCGAAACCTGTCACCGAACGAGAGGCAACAATAAAAGAGAATAAATACAAAAAACTGTTAATTTCTGAAATTTTCCTGAAAAACAATTTAAAAGATCTAAGACTTTGTATAGAAAGGCCACATCCTATACCTGGGAAATCAACATAGAAGATCAATACTGAGACATATTTTAGTAAAAAGAAAAAAATACACGGGGCATCCAAGTTAAAAGGCAAATTCACTTTTAAGGAAAGGAAAACCGGGTTGTCATCAGACTTTTTGACCAAAGTGCTTTATGTCAGAAGACTACAGTAACATATCTGCCAGCCTAAGTGACTTCCCAGTGAAAGGCCAAGCGTGTTCTCAACGTAGCAGAGAGCAGGGAATATTCCCATGTGCCCTTTCTGAGGTGACTTCCAGGGGACAGGCTTCAGAACAGCCTTAGCAGGACATTGCCGTAACAGGTGGTGAGCACTTAATACATGCTTACTTGTGCAGCTCAGAACAAATGGTGCTGAAAGAAATATAATGGAAAGAATATAGTTTTTGTTCTTATGCACCCCGAAATATACTGTATAACTAAAAGAAAATAGAAAGATAATAGGGCAAACATTTTTAAAGGAGAGTAAGCTTGGGGCTTGCTGGGCACTGTGGTACATACCTATAATCCCAGCACTCGGGAGCCTGAGGCAGGGGGACTGCCCTGAGTTCAAGGCCAGATTTGGCTACATAATTGGGTTCAAGGCTACCTGAACTACATAGGGAGATCCTGTCTAAAAAAAAAAATGTTATAACTTATAATATGTAGTATATGTTTGACCACAGCAGGGTCTCTTCTTAGCTAGGAGGGGGCAAAGCTAGGACTTGAAGCCAAGACTGTCTGGCTCATGGTTTGCTCTTTTTGTTTTTTTTTTGTACTGGGGATCAAACTCGGGTCCTTGCGCTTGCGCAGCGGGTGATGAAACCACTGAGCCAAATCCCCGGCCCTCATGGTTTGCTCTTTCTCTCCCATGCTACCGAAGGCAAAATGTATCCAACGAGTGTACATGATAGGATTTTTAGAAGAAGGAGGGCTTCCACAGGAAAAGCTTCAAAGAAGACGTGGAATTTGAAGATGCAGAATCAACCTGAAGCAAACATGTAAGGGCACAAAAAAATGTTAGACAAAAGGGAGCAGGGCATATAAAATCAGTTTTGATTTCTTAGACTTGTATTTCCTGCCTTCATCCATTTTCCAAGAACAACATGTAAATCGAAAACAGATGATCAGTTCTGCTAGGTGGCTAGCTGAGAGTGCAGGTGAGAGAGTGGGTGTTTAAAGATGGGGCCTTGTATCCTAGGCAGGAAGGGCCTGGCAGTGGGTCTGTGCCCCAGTGATGCCCAGTGCCTGGCCGGCACTCATTGCATAGGACATGCAGACTGGGGGAATGAATGAGTTGATGCATAAAACAGTATTTCAAGGACTTTTCATGTGTTCTTCAGGTAGCTGTATTAACCTGTTCACTATTTGAAAGGTAGGTAGTGAGGCTTAATTTAGACAGGGTGGATGAATAAGTACACAGTGTGATCCTCCGTTTTACCAAACCGATGCACTAAGTGGCTGTGTTACTCTCTCAGGCTAACTCGATGTCAGGCAGGAGCCTGGATTCTATCTGCGTTCATCTGACTCCAAAGCCTTTCCCTGTTGCCTTGCGGGGACTGAAGTAGTCACATAAAAGCGTTCAATTTTGCTGCTGCTTCCACACATACTTGGAGGTGAGACCCCTATAGAGCCTCACCTTCACCCACAGATTTCATTCTCTTGTCTCTGCATCGTAGGCAGAGGGCTACATCTGTCTTTGTAAACAACATAGGCTGTGCTGGAAAGGGAAGAAAACTCTTTGGAGCCATGATTGTACCCTGTGCCATGTGGGTAACCCCGTATGGGTCTCCTCTTCTCTCCATTAGTCTTCCTCTGAGGTCTGACCCCAAGAATCATACTGCAGACTCCCAAACAGCCAACATGGAGGACATCGCGGTTCCAAAGAGGTGACCTTAGTGGAAAGAGATTTTCTATCATCTACGGAGCCTTTCTAGGTCTTCCCTAAGGCCTGGAGCTTGGTTTTAGAAAAGGCCCAGATTTTTTCTGGGACGTGGGTTCCCCAAGCCCGCAGGAAAACATCCTCCATGCATGGGTTTATTTTCTTGGTTGCTTCACCAAATGTCAGGAGCAATTCTACATAATTTTTGGGGGGGGAATCATTTCACAATTAAAATTATGATTAGGACTAGTTTTCCTGCCTATAGGCCAGCTATGGGATGTCCAGACATAACTCCAGTGGTCCAGTGATGCTGTGATGCTTCAGGACAAGATTACACCAGCTGAAAACATCCTGGGAGGAACAAAATCTTCATCTGCATAGTTCCTCATTGTTCTAGGATTTTCCCAGATGCTGCCCTCTGAGCTAAATGTTGTATTTGTTCCTCCTGATGCACTGAACTCTCTGTCCTGAGTCATCTGTTAGATTTGTTTCTTCCTATATACTGAACAAAGGTGTGGCAAGCTAGGGGCTTTCATTCTTGCTGTGATACTAGGAGTTGCTGCAGGGGTTCTAGTAACTTCCCATTTCCCTGTTCTCTACAACCAAATATTGTTGCACAGGACACACTGAATATCCAAGGAGCTGCCTTTCAAAATAAATCTCTTATTTTGCCTTCACAAATGGCTAATCACATTGTATTAAGAGTTAGCAGCTTTCTCTCTTGGAAGGAGTGAGTTTGAAACTAAGCAGATGGGGGAAAAAAGAGTTTTTTGCAACCATCACCCCCTTTATTTTTCAGGCTATAAAATATCAGAGACTATACAGTATACAGCAAGTGAAGGATTTTAAATGAGCCCTTCAGGAAAAGGATGGCTCATTAAAAAAATCAGGGAATTAGGGCCGGGGATGTGGCTCAGTGGTGCTGTGCCTGCCTGGCAAGTGCAAAGTCCTGAGTTCAATCCCTGGTACTGGGGGAAAAAAATCAGGGAATTAGAAAACACAAAAGTAGGTGCCTTGAGCTCTTTCTCCTCTGCCCTGCTGCACTGCTCTGAGGCCCTGACTTGGAGCCAGACAACTGTGGACTGAAACTTCTACAAAGTCCATGGAAGGACTCCAGTGAAATTTTAAATGGCTCAACAAAGCATGCGTTAATGGATGACAGCGGTCCTCCTACATATAATCTGCAGATAGAATACAAGACCAGTGTCATTCTGGTGACAGCGCAGAAAGGAGAATAACACACTTGCCTTCTACATCAGATGAAAAAGAAAATCAACCTGATGGAGACGGCCCTGAACTTCTGACCAGCATGGTAGTATATGGGGAAAACTAAAGTGTTAGAGGAGACAGTCTCAACAGTAATGATTACCTGTATACCACCAAGCCAGTTTTTCTGAAACTCAAGGTTTTCTGGGAAGCTTCCCCTTGGAATGAAAGCACTGAGATAACACCTTTCTAATTAGGGGCCCGGCTGGGATACCATGGTGAACACACCACTCCCTGGGACAGTGACATGAGCTCAGGGGCGCAGTGAGACCTTAGCTTAAAATAGGCATGGACTCTCACCAGGAAAATTCAGGGCAACTTTTAAAAATGTACTAATCATGGGCCGGGGATTTAGCTCAGTGGCCCTGTGCCTGCCACACAAGCATAAGGTCCTGAGTTTGATTCCCCAGTACAAAAAAAAAAGTAATAGTCATTTATTGCATGAACTGCAGTAATTCCACCTGGTGATGAAAGGATTGTTATCTCACACATAAAAATATTCATCGTTTTACCAAAATGTGATTGCTTCTCACTTGAAGGTACTGACAACTATTTGTAACTATTCTTCCTTAAGAACTGTATTTGAGGTTATCAAATCAAGCTTGTAATTTAAAATCTATACCAAAAAAAGAAAACACAAAATAATTCCCACCTCCCTACATGGGCAAGAGAGTGGTGGTTTAAGATGAGGGTCCAGATTTTTTCATAGGTTAGATTTTCTTTGCTTATTTTCTCTGTCACTTTTCCAAAAATCCTTTTTGTTTCTTAATTGTTTTTAATTAAACAGTGTCTTTCCTTTGCTATGACATTACTTCCATTCATTTGTTATTTTGTCCATTAAATAAACATTCATGGACTACTCACTCATGTGAGAGGCACTTTTACTACAGTTAGAAACAAAGGAGCTGAGTGAGTCACTCCCTTCCCTCCATTTAACCCAAAACAGCATCCTGCTTCATTTGTACTGGGAGAGGTAGAAAATAAAACAACAAAAGTTTAGGAGATTGCCAGTGCTTTAGGGTTAGGGTTAACCTGGTGCCTCCAGAGATTCAATGGGAGACACCTAAAGCAGAGGAGTCTGTCCTTAAATTCTCAAAGCCTGAGTTATGGGCCTCTTTTTTTCCTGTTGCTGCTTGCTGCTATCTTTGGCCTATGTGCAGTGCTTTTCTGTTGCACCAGCACTTTTCTTGGTCTGTGTTTATACTTGTGTTGAGATGGACTGGCCCTGAGAATAATTTCCCATGATCTGCAAAAAATGTAGCTACTTAGTACTTATTACTGTATGTACACTTGCCAATTCTTTCCTTGTTGTACAGAAGTACCTGGACAAGTATTGGCCCATTCAACTGTAACACTTTGAAAAAATAATAAACAAGACAGACAAAATTCCTGCCCTTGCAAAGTTTATGTACTGGTGGGAAGTCTGATATTAGGAAGTGAAGAAAGAAAGGAGGAGAAAGAAGAGGGGGAGGGAGAAGGGGAAGAGGAGAAGGAAGATTGCTGGTAGTAGTGAACAAACTCAGGTATGCTAGTACATTCTCTTTTTTTTGGTACTGGGGACTGAACTCAGGACCTTACACTTGCAAGGCAGGCGCTGGAACCACTGAGCTAAATCCCCAGCCCTGCTAGTACATTCTTGAAATCCCAGTATTCTGGGAGGCTGAGGGAAGAGGAGCAAGTTCAAGCCTAGCCCGGGCTATTTAGCAGCATAGCTAGACCTTTTCTCAAAAAACCCCCCAAAAAAACAAAAAAAAAAAAAAAAGAAAGAAAGAAAGAAAAAGAAAAAAAAGCTGGTGATGTAGCTTAATGCAAAGGCTCTGGGTGTAATCCCCAGTACAGGAAAAAAAAAAATAAATAAAAGGAAGTCAACAATTAGAAACATGATTTAAGAATACGATTAAGTGCTATAAAGATAAAGATGTCTTAAATTGTTCTTTTGTGTAAATTAAGTCAGGAGGTAAAGACAGGTAGCCTAGGACTGGTATGGTTGCTCAAAATAGTCAAGTCTCCTTGAAGCTCAGTACTTCATTTTTCTGTAGTGTTAATATAGGAGATAGGGTGTGGCAAAGCTGGCTGGGGGAATAAGTGGGGCCTGTCAATTGCAAGATCCTAGGTCAGTGCCAAAGAATTCCCAGGACCAGTACTTAGAACTTCTCAAGGGCTCCCATGAAATGTAGACAACATATAAGGACACAGATGCCCCCTCCCGCAAAAGACACAGATGCCACAAGAAACCCACTATTGTGACTACTACTCCTGGCAGTTGCCCACTCTGGGTGTAGAGACAGTGTGCACTTTTATTTTTGCTTCTTTCCTTTCCTCATTCAGCCCAAGTGTCCTCTGCAAAGCCAGTTTTCCCCTTACCCCTTTAGCCCTCACATTTCAAATAAACTTTTGGCACTATTTTTAGCTTGCCTTATCCAATTCTTTGTTGGAAGCAAGGACCTGGAATACTTTTATTTGGCAAGTCATTTCTTTTTTTTGGTACCGGGGATCGAACTCGCATCCTTGCGCTTGTGCCAGGGGGGGCAGGCAGTGGAACCACTGACTAAATCCCCGACCCCTGGCAAGCCATTTCTAAAGGAGCTACCTGACAACAGTGTGACTTTCTTCTTCCTGTGATCCAG